CATCTTTCATGATAGGAATAAAGTAGTTAATTTTCTCAACATCTTAATACTAGCTTTGTAGAATAATGGTGTTAAACAGAAACACAAATGTGAAATTGCTTTACTCTTTGGAGTTGTCTTTCATCCCCTAAAGGTGAATATAAATCCAAAAACAAATTATAAGGAGAGATATTTTTTCTTAATCTCTGTGATCCTTTTCCCTTTTTTTACTTTGCCCTTAACAAGACTTACAGCTTAATCTCCAAGCACGTGCATTATTGCCTGTACCCAAATAGCCACCCCTGAAGTAATGGGAAGAAGTGGGTGTTAGCACAACTCAGCATGGGATAATCCAGTGAAGACCATTTGAGTCAGCTGTAGACCTGTGCCTGCATACCAGTTTCTATTTTTGCACTAACTTCTACATGGGCAATTCATTACAACGGCAGATGATTGTTCTTGCTTCTCTGTGTTTCAAGAAGAACTGCCCAAGGAGAGGTTAAATACTACGGCGATAGCTTGTACTGTAGGGATGTGTATGTCTCAATATCATTTAAGGAAGAAAACGAGAGCTGTCAGAGCAAACATGATGGGGAGGAGTCACAAGGGTTGTTGAAGCAATTCCCATGACACATTAGTACGGCAAGATCTTGTTAATGGCTTAGTCTTTAAGACAATTCTTCAGCATTCTGCAAGTCAGGGCAATTCTGGATAATGTACATTTCTCAATTAAGGAAGAGATTGAGAAGGCAGCGGGAGGCTCCAACCTGAAAATTACTTCACAGTAGTTTACTAAGGAGGAGTTTTTTTAGGATTATCCTAAGTGAGAGAGTGAGTAAATGCTGTTTGACTCAGAGCCCTAGGTGAAACTATACAGTTTTCTCTTAAGGGCACAGGAAGAAAAACAAGATTAAAAAAAAATGAATGGAAAGGATCACAGGCATAAAAAATGTCTTCTGTATCCACTGGCTTTGGATCTCTCCCCATCTGCTTGCAATATGCATGAGTTCAATGAAGTTGGTAGTACAGCAATAAAAAGGGTAACTGAAGATGTAAGTCTGCAGTAAGCTCTACTTGAAGTAGTTTCCAGCTTGTACACAAGGTATTTAGACTGCTAAACAGAATCCTGGATATCCTGTAGCTTGTGCTGATACAGTTCTAGCAGAGCAACCTAATCCTGTGTAAGTGTTTTCTTACTGACAAATGAAAGCCGTGTGCTAAAAGGAGGTAGTTAGCAAATGCCTTTCCAAAGGCTGAGACAGCGCTTACCTTTGTTTGCTTATGGCTTTCTTACCCTTTATGCAAGGAAAGAGACTGAAGTGTTAGGATGTTGGGATTATTTGGGTGACACTAAAGGTACCAGAGCATTTGTGGACCTGATGAGGTGGTGAGCTCTTTGTGAGGAAACTCTGCTTTCTGTGCACGTCATGTAGGGAACTTTGGTGCTTAAGGTGAATCTGTGAACTTCCTCTGGGAGTCAGCTACATGTTTACCCCTTCGTGGACTTTTTTTCTTTAATAACAGAACCAGGGTAAATTAAGTGATGCACGTGCCTTGCTGCCATAGGATGTCTTAGTTCAAACACCATCTTGTGTTTAGTGAAGTTTGTCTAACTAGAGTTTATCCCGAGAAATTCCATATCTTTAAAATTCTCCTGCTCCTAAATATCTGGTTTAACGAATCATAGTCTGGAACCCTGGTTTTGAGTCCTTTGTGAGGAAATTTTGGGATTATTTGAATATGCAGATTTTCTCTTTGGAAACCCATTGGTACAGAGATGAGCCAAGGTAAGTTTTGTGTGCCAGTTTGTGTGTTCTGGTGTTTGTAAGGCAAATGAATGTGACTGAAATCCAGTAGCAGATACACTTGAGCCGCGTGCGTCTTGTGCGAAAGGACACTAAAGCTTACGACAAGGCAAGCTGTAAGGTGTGTTGGGTATGTACGGTGCTTCTTCCTCATACAAAATTTCAAATATGGCTTTTAAAGAACTATTTTAAAATATTTTCATGCTGGATATGTAAAATATTGCTTGTGTGTAGTTATGAGGAAAAGCATAAGCTATGACATTATGAAATTTGGATTTGCATTTGTAATGGGTAACAACAGAACTGCGTTGTAAACCTTTTTGTGATTTTAATTATACAGGCCTAGGCTTTTCTATTCCAACTTGTACAGCCGTAGGGAGCCTTCCTTTTGTTCCCAAATGTGTCTACAGATCACAACTGTGGAAAAGTTGCAGTGTCCTGAATTGGGGACTGGACTTTCTAAACTCCTGGCTACAAAGGTGTAGCCCAAGTTTCCTTCAGCTTTTCTGTTCAGGAAGGCTCCCTTGTAGATGCCTGCCTCAAGAGCTATATTTGGAGTGGCAACACTGGATCAGTATTGACTCTTTTTCTTGAAGGAAGAGCTATTGTCCAAACAAAAGAGCAAAGCAATTCGTCTGGCAAGAACCTTTGTAAAAGCAAATATCTTCTCAGAGGAGTTTTCTATCCTAGTATTAATTTAGGATTGTTTTAAATAAAGTGGTTTTTGTTTCTTTAGCAGGTCCCTTGGTGACAGGACACCTTTGGAGGAGAGAAGATGAAGAACATGCTTGGCTCATCCAGTCACTGAACTGATGTCATCCCAGTGTCTACATGTAAAAGAAAAAGTAATTTTCTGCCTTGACTTCAGGTAAGTGCCAGTTGTATAGAACACCTCACTTGCCAAGCTTTGGGGGAATCTAGGCAAATGACAGTGCATGTCTGAAATCAATTTCTAAAAAGACAGTGGCAAATTTTGCTCATGTGCAAGACATAAGGTGCTCTTGCTTTTGTGACATCCCTTTAGGTGCTATCAGATCAGAAGAACACAGTTCTGCTCACCTGGAGTGTCACAGCCCCCTTCTGGAGTCTGATGTGTCATCAAATACAGATACCATACAGATAAGGTGATCGGTAGCCAGGAATGCCTGCTGCTGCAAAGCACAAGCTTTCTCTGTAACCTGAGCTGTTGAGTGCTGAGAAACATGGTGCCTATAGTTTCTTGGCAGTTGGACTAGATGATCAATGTAGGACCCTTCCAACTGATATATTCTGATGAGAGGGCTGCCATGGTTCCTTAACTGTCTAAGATCAAAGAATCAAAGACACCAATACATCCTTCCTGTGGCTACTGATCTAGCTTGGCAAGTCAGACCAGATTTTGCTCAGGAGACAGATGTGAAAAACATTGATCCAAAGCTGGCAGTTGTTCTATCACAGGATTAATACTACTTCATTATTATTATGAAGGAATGCCTGGCAGCTAAATGAACTTACAGAGTAGTCAATGGAGGGCATCTAGGTTGCTTGTACTAATGTGGCCATCTTGTATATCATATTACACTGTCAAAGGTTCCTCGTGCTTGCTTTAGAATGCTTTTTTTGAAAGGATTTGCCCCGGTCTTCTGGCAATAAAGTAGTGTTGGGTGAAAGGCTGCATACCATCATCAATAATGCAGGTTTTCCATCCTTCACCCTGGTTGAGTGCTACTATATTGTGGTCACTTTGTTGTTGGCTTTTCCCCCAGTTTGTTACGCTGATACTTTGCTTTTGAGAAATATCAGCTAGATGGTTCTGGTATGCTTTTCCCTAACTTAGGGTTTGTTTTTTTTTTTCCCTTTTTCTTTTTGCAGTTTATGCCTGAGTTTATAACCTTTTCATTTTTTTCAGCTTTTCTGAAGTATGCTTTCTTGCTCCTAGTCTATTATGGATTGGTTTGTTTGTTTTTTTAAATATCGTTATGTTTAGCTTCAGGCTTCCTCAAAGCTTTTTTTGCTTTGACAGGCAGGATGTATTTACTTTGAGACTAACACATCTTAAAGTAGTTTTTCTGTCTCCAGAAAACATGCAGTTCTGGAGGTTCCCCTTTTAAGCTCATTGATTTTTTTTTTTTTTTTTTTTTTTCCTGATTTTGTGTGGTTCCTGTCTTTGAAATTGAACGTGGCAGTAGTTGATCTTCTGGCTTTGGGGGTCTGTAGAAATGCTGAATCCGATGGTGATATGGTTTGGGTACATGGCAGAAATATAATAAACCAATTGTGTTTACTGGCCAGGACTGAATCAAAGGCTGCTTCCAATTTTATGGGCTTCCTAGCTGCCTGTTCCCAAAGCAGTTATTCACAGCATCTAGAAATCTAGTATTATCTGAGTAGTCAATGTAAAGATTTCACATTTTACTTCAGAGTAATTAAAATAATTGGAAAGAGTAGTTCCCTGGGATTTCCACATTCCATTGCCTTCCTGCCACCAAGTTTCCTTTACACCTGCTTTGTCCATGGCCTTGTTTAAGGTAAGCATTCTGGGTCTGTGCCATCATTATCTTCTGAGAGAGTTCTGTGAAACACAGGAAGCATTGTTTTGGCTTTCTGTCACTGTATCCTGTTCACACCAGACTTTTTTTTAACTACTTTTGTTTACTATCTGAGTTTTATCAACTTCTGTCCTATTCTTTACTTGAGGTTGCAGTGTCTACCATAGGATTCAGAACAGCGCATCCTGCGTGCACCAGTCTGCTTTCTCCTATTTGTCACTTTGAAATTTCTTTATGATCTTCCTGATGTGAAGGGCAAATCCCACTTCCCTGTCAGTCACGTGGAAATTTGGTCATCTTTTGCAAGATTTAATCTCCTCTAGAAGTTTTCCCAGTCCCCGATGAACCTGAGCCTCTCTTCCTTACCCAGTTGTTGTGCACTGAGACTTTGCCTCCTCACCAGCTGTGTTACGGTGGGGGTCCTGGTCTTTGGCATCCTACATTCCACCTCCAGAGTCTCTCTTCTTTCTTTTATGTGGTACCCAAGTGGACCTCAACCCTTGCCTCTTTCCCAGCACTTCCCAACTTGTCCAGGCTTTTTTTGAAGTTTTTGAGTGGAGCACCAGCAGGCACACCAGTACACTGCCTCTGGAATCAGGAGCCAGATTTCTTAGGTACCTGGTAACTGAACCACTGATGGATATTGCCTGTCCCTTTTTCTCAGCTGGGATTTCTGCCCCAGGGAAGTATTGTCAGTACAAGAAGATACACAGGCACCTTGTGCAGAGCGGGGACCATTGACCGGGATTATTACATCCTTAATCAGTTTGGTGCCTTCCTGCCATGAAACTAGGGCTGGAAGAGCTTTTCAGTCCCCTAAAATGCCAGGTCAGTTTAACATCTTTCCTTAAGCATTGGTGGCTTTTTGCCTGCAGGTGAGAGCAGAGATTGCCACGAAGTCTCTGCGTCATACATTCTTCCACTTATGCCACAATCGAGTCACAAGAAACGGCTCTATCTCTGAGCATCGTGGGCTGCGTGGAATGATTACCTCTTCATACCACCTACACAAGGGTCAGGTAATCATATGACACTTGATACTTTACCCTTGGAAATTGTCACCCTCTAGCTAGACTTCTGACTGCATTTCTCTTGCACATCTGGACTGACTCAATAGAAGTGTTCCTATATGGGGTGGCAATGGAGCTTCCAGTTAAAGTATTGAGAAGCAATTATGTCATGTGCATCATTAGCAACTGTATTCATTGTGTTTCGTAACAAATTATGCTGAGACATTGACTGAATCCAAATAATGAGAAGCTGAGGCTTAGCTTTAGCCTATGTTTCATTCAAAAGAAACTGGCCTTCCCAGAAAGACAGCCTTCCTGTACTTGCCTATGGACTTGATAAAAGGTGGAAGGAAGTGCTCCAGCCATGTAAGAGGTATTCAAATCAGCTTGTTACTAAGCTGGTGATTCCTGAGCTGTAGAGGGGTCAAATGGAGGTCATTAAGGTGGAGGAAGAAAGTCCACAGATATTAGAAACTTTACAGCAGCAAAGCAAAGAAAATATGTGCCACACATGTATCATCGTGTGATGTTCTGCCTTCTTTATTTGCTTTCTGAAGCAAATGTGTGTAATGCTTTATGGGTTTATGTGTCTTCTAGTAAGTTTGGTGGAACTGAGAGAACTTAAAACTGGAAAGGATTCCCAAGAAAAGATTGAGAAATGCTGCTACAGGTAAGAATTTGTGCTTGTGTTAATTGACTTGCCAACTAGTTTGCTGTAACTAGCACAAGTAGAAATGTTTATGTAGACAACCTGCAAATATTTATATCCAAAATGTTTATGACCTAGAAGAATTTTTCCAGGACAGAAATGTGTGTGTGGCTAGGTGGCCACAATTTAAATTAACATCTAAAGAGTTAAAGAAGAATGACAAACTTGAATATAGCTGTTATGGGGGCAAGTTCTTATCTGGCCAAATGACCAATTTCAGGGAAGTTCAAGGGGGCTGAGACACAGACCATTGAATCTACATCAGTTGATGTCAGCTCCTTATCTGGCCTGGGACTGAACATTGTCTCTTTAGAATGTACAGTTTTTCTGCGTTGGTCCTGCCCATAACTTCTGATTTGTTCTTAATTATACCAAAGAAGGAAGTAAACTCTGTGTCCTTGCAAAATTTTCATGGTTCTTCTGATTTGGGGTGTTGCAGGGTGTAGTTAATGCTCTGAAAAGGCTTCGGGATTCCTGGATGAAAGGTGTGATGAAAGAAGTATATTGTTATTGTTTTAGGGGAGGAATCATGCTACTGGGTAAGCCTCTGTCACTGAGACTTGCTGGACTTGTTTGTTCTGACTTGCCTATGACTCCTTTCTTTCCTAATTCCGGAGATAAAGCCTCAAGTCTATGCTGAGATGCTGCACAGTGCGTTGTGGCGTCCGGGACAGTGCATCTCCCAGACAGAAGAGCTTCTTGCTGACCTCTCAGTGGTACCCAGAGGTGAGTGCCACGGCCTTCCCACTTGCTTCTCGGTAGTTTATGGCAGCATGGCTGTATTATGTGTAGATTTATAGGGCATTTTGAGCTTTGAGCAAGGGCGTGGGGAGAATGGCGCTAGCTCTCAGCTTGCTTCTGATTTGTGCTGCCTTCCATGCATCAGTAATGCTTCTGATATTTCACCCTTTCTTCTCGCCCAAAATGTGTTTGTTTTCCAAGAATTCCCTAGCTCCTCTAAAGCATGGTGTGGTGACAAATCAAGGTGGCCTCTGGCCACCAAAGCTTGCAGTGAGGGAGCAGGTGAGAGTCATCTCACTATGCCCTGACTCTGAGTTGCCATTTGTGTTTGTGCAGTTAAAATACGTTGTTGTCACAACCACTGAGCTAATATCGTGGTACAAGAGGGTGAGCAGAGTAAAGTAGGTAAAAGTAGCTTCTTGTGCTCTTGTTTACTTTCATGGGCTTCGTATGCAGGCGGTGAAGTGTTAGTCTGTGCAGAATCAGCTTGGAAGCGTACCAAATCTGGCACCAGACCATTTCACCCACCCTGCCTTGGAATGAAAATCAAACTGAAAACCCGCAAAGGCTGTAACTCCTTGTTTGGTGTGTCACTTCTGGAGTAAATTTCAACCACACGAAGTGGGATGAAGGGAGGCAGGCAGAGCTGTTTCAAAGGCTGAAAAGCAGAGATCTACTGCTATATTCTGGGACGGCTGAATAGCAGAATAAGATATTTGTCTACGATCAACGCAGCTGGAAGGGGAAATCTGAGAGGTAAAGATGATGTAGAAGTTGCAGAACCCTATCCTAAACTGGCCGCAATCTGTGGCCATGTACTTAATATTTCCTTGGCTCTGGGATGGCCTCTCACATGTTCGTGCAGATTGTAAGGTCCTTATGTAGTGAGTAGCCCTCCTAGTTGTCCTGAAGCTTATTTCAGAACATGGGAGTCTTTCTCAAGATGTTGGCTCTGGCAGTCAGCTGTAGAAATAGGGGTTATTGATCAAGGCTCGTTCAGTTGTCAGCATTACAGTTATGTCCCACAGACTGTTGTAGTAGTACAGGAGGCCAGCTGTATCCCAACAGCTAAAGAGCTCATAACCTCCAAAAATGCAAAATGGATGAGAGAGTAAGGAACAACAAATCTTTTGTGCTGATTGCAAAGGTGATCAGGGAAGCTTGTGTGAGCAGCATTTTGGCATCACAGATATAGTTACTGGTAAGCTCTGAGTTAACACATCTTGAAGACTGAATGCTGCCCTTGAATCTAGATGCAAATTACAAGTACACTATTTGGAGCTGTTGTCTTTGCCCTGTTGAAGTGTGCTTCTGGGAAGCAGCAAAATCTTGGTAGAATTGGATGGTTAAGGGGAGGAGCTCAATTAGTGAGTGGCAAATGCATTAGTGATGCTCTATCTGACTGCAGAGGGGTGGCATGCAGCACCTACTGTTTTTGTGGGATGTTTGAGGGTGTGGGGAGATCAAGCTGATTCAGCATGACGCATAGAAGAACACACACGTTTTGTTTCCCTCAGCAGATCCCTTCAACGTTTGGAAGTCTTCCATTGTATCAGAATTGCTTTGGGAGACACCAAACATGGAGTGAGTGAGGCTGGTAGGTAACTGACCTTATCCAAACAAGGGTCTTGCAGTACTTTGGCAGGCACTAGCTGCTCCTGTTTCAATGTCCAAAGTAGTAGAGGCTGTCCCATTCTCTTACAGGTGTGTGACCTGAGTATGCAACGAGAGAAGAGAAGCGTTAGGTTGGTGTGATTGCTTGTGGCAAAGGTGGGAGTGGAATTAGCATGTCTTGTTTCGTAGCCCTGTGCTCTTGTTACAGGACTCCTGAACTAAGGCAGATATATTTCAGTGGTTGCCATTCCCGATCACCCTGCCAAGCTAGATAGCTTCAGGGACCTAGCCTGGCTTTTCAAATTGCACTCACCAGGCCAGCTGATTAGTCTTTTCAGTTGTCTTGTGAAAGGTCCCATTTCTAGGAAGAATGATTGTAGGGATGTGCCTGAATCTATCTTTGAATGGAAAACCTGGTGATGGCTGTAAATGTGGAGAGACTCTCATCAACTGATGTGCTGCCTAAGCTCTGCCACTGACTCTTCTGAGAGTATTGGAATATCAGTGAGCAGGGATATAATAATAAAAAACTATAATAAATTTATGATAGGAAGACAGCAGCAGATCAGATAGAAGAGGTTACATGTTTTCTTCTATGCAGAGCATGGCAAAACAACTTCAGTAAACAGCTGGTGCCAGAAAACATGGCTTAGATTCATCTAAAAGCAAACTAGGTCAGGCTGCTATGAAGGCTTAGCTTAAGAAGTCAAAAAATGTCAAGGGTGGATCTGTAGAGCAGAACAGGGTAGCTATTCCCTGCTTATCCAGCAGCTCAGTGACAAGTGCCTTTTCTTAGGTCACAGATGGTAAAGTTACATGTCATTTTATTGTCTGGACAGGCATTTTCTAATCAGTTTTCTGGAATTAGTGTTTCTGAGGCTTTTGATAACGCACAGTAGCTCAACTGGAAGAGATCGATAAGCTCAATAGAGTGAATCAAATCCTGTCAGGGAGAGGTGGCAGTCGAACTTTGATCACTTGAATTGTGAATGAACATAGTAACCTTTTAGGGAGTTTGGTACAGGATGAGAGAGGAAAAACAGCTTATCATGTCTATATTTTGCTTGTCTTTTGCTTTTGGGTAAATGTTCCAAATTGGAAGGTAAAGAATTTATTTGGGGTTGATCTGAAATCCATCCTGAAATCCTACTGTTTTCTCCTTGGCTTCACAAGGAAGAAAAGACAATTTTAGCCCTGGAAAATTTCAGTACAACTCTTCTTCCTAATGTGCCAGTAACTATTAATGTAACTTTATTTCTTGCTGTATCTCACTTATTTAAATATCCTGTATCGAGTCTTGATTTAATATATATCTCTAAACAGAACTTTACTGTCTATAAAATAACTTAATTCTGTACAAACATAGCTGGTTCCAAAATAGTTCATTCAGATGATTTTTTTTCAGTATGGAATAACATTTTAGTGACCAAAGCACATTATTTGGCTGAGAACCAGGATGTGTAAAGTAGGAGATGTAATTAGTAGCAGACTTTGCATTTCCAATGAAATGCACCAAATGAACTGTGATATGAAATTGTCGGATGCTGCTGTCTCTAGAAATTGTCTTGAGCTCCTAGGGAACTAAGTGTGTTTTAAATGAAAACAGGGATTGCTGGAGGAGGTATAATGATCATCCATGGTATTGCCAAGATAAGCAGTTTTGTATTGAACTAAAAGATCTTGGCTTTGAAACTTCTCACTAATTCACTGCAGACTGAAACCTGCCAGAGACAGACCATGACGAGTTGGTTTTCAGAGCAGAGAGGACTCAGCCTTCGAGGTCTCCCGATGGAGTCTGGCTTCTGATCTCTTGTTAAGGTTTGCTCTTGAGGAATGGAAGTTATCCTCATCCGTGCTGGAGGATGAATGCGTTGCTGTTACCTGAATTCCCCTGTCTGCCCCCCTAAGAGTTAATTCACAGCTTACTGGAGTTTGGGCAGTAAAAAAATCAAAGCATGTGGTAGAAGGAAGCAAGAAATATGAGGCTGTACATAACACTCGACTCTGGAAGGCATCTACGCAGACGGCTGTGGTGTTGTGGGTCTTCTGAGGAGAATGCCTGTCTGTTAAGCAGTGCCCCTTTGCCACAAGAAGACAGAAAAAAAGGATACATCTATGGCTGAAGACGCTGAGATCATCTCTGTCTCTGCATTTGTCAGCACTGCACAGGATCAGTGTTTCTCTGGCCAGCGAGTGTTGCTGGCTGGGGAAGAGTTTTCTTGGTTACTAGAGTGCAGAGAAGACCACCCAGAAGTCCGATTCCTAAACAGGGGGATCCACCTGCCACTGAACTGTTTAACCATGGAGATGGATGTCCCAGGCACAGGAATCCCTGTCAGGTGGTTATTCTGGCAGAGCATCAACAATCCTGCTGAGAAGCGTTAGGTTGGTGTGATTGCTTGTGGCAAAGGTGGGAGTGGAATTAGCATGTCTTGTTTCGTAGCCCTGTGCTCTTGTTACAGGACTCCTGAACTAAGGCAGATATATTTCAGTGGTTGCCATTCCCGATCACCCTGCCAAGCTAGATAGCTTCAGGGACCTAGCCTGGCTTTTCAAATTGCACTCACCAGGCCAGCTGATTAGTCTTTTCAGTTGTCTTGTGAAAGGTCCCATTTCTAGGAAGAATGATTGTAGGGATGTGCCTGAATCCATCTTTGAATGGAAAAGCTGATGATGGCTGTAAATGTGGAGAGACCCTCATCAACTGATGTGCCGCCTAAGCTCTGCCACTGACTCTTCTGAGAGTATTGGAATATCAGTGAGCAGGGATATAATAATAAAAAACTATAATAAATTTATGATAGGAAGACAGCAGCAGATCAGATAGAAGAGGTTACATGTTTTCTTCTATGCAGAGCATGGCAAAACAACTTCAGTAAACAGCTGGTGCCAGAAAACATGGCTTAGATTCATCTAAAAGCAAACTAGGTCAGGCTGCTATGAAGGCTTAGCTTAAGAAGTCAAAAAATGTCAAGGGTGGATCTGTAGAGCAGAACAGGGTAGCTATTCCCTGCTTATCCAGCAGCTCGGTGACAAGTGCCTTTTCTTAGGTCACAGATGGTAAAGTTACATGTCATTTTATTGTCTGGACAGGCATTTTCTAATCAGTTTTCTGGAATTAGTGTTTCTGAGGCTTTTGATAACGCACAGTAGCTCAACTGGAAGAGATCGATAAGCTCAATAGAGTGAATCAAATCCTGTCAGGGAGAGGTGGCAGTCGAACTTTGATCACTTGAATTGTGAATGAACATAGTAACCTTTTAGGGAGTTTGGTACAGGATGAGAGAGGAAAAACAGCTTATCATGTCTATATTTTGCTTGTCTTTTGCTTTTGGGTAAATGTTCCAAATTGGAAGGTAAAGAATTTATTT